AATATACTGGTAATATATGCATGTATGGGGGGTAAGCATCCTGTAAGTCTGTGATTTGCTCTGTTTTTTCAGAGGGCCTGTGTCCTTTGCCTGAGACCTTCACAAGCGCTTCTCTTTCTCACTTTACACTGAGAAGGCTAGAGAGGGTTTGAATTTGGTATTTCCCTTCCCCCAGGTCATTGAGGCTCTAGTAAAAATGAAACTTTGTTAAGCTATTTCTCTTGTGGCAGGGTTTCCAAAATACTAGTTTTACTTCAGATGCTCTTGTTGTACTTTGGTTTGGTTTACTTCCAACTGGTTACTTTTCTCCTTCCCTTTGCCAGAAGCACAAGGAGATTTTCCTCCAGTCTTAACCCTGAGAACCTGTTGGGTTTCCTAGACATAAAGCTCATGAAAGTTTGGAAGCCCTCCCCTGCCGCCCAAGAATGTGCCCCATTGCAGTTTTAACGGTGGAGCTTGTCCACCCTGAGCATCTTAGCAATTATAATTTAAATTATCCTGGTAATGGCTCCCATAGCAGGCTTCTGCTCCTGGTAAGTTGTGATTCTCTGTATACACCTATCTGCCTCTACATTTTTGGAAGCTGCAGTTTTCCCAGTAACCTGAATTTTCTGATGGGTCTAAGAAAAGTTGCAGATTTTTTTGTTGTTGTTGATACAGGCCTGACATCTGACAAGTTCCTTAGATGTCAAATAGAAACCAGAAATTGTCTCATATCTTTTTTTTGTTTGATTATCCCTGTTACTACCTTCTTTTGTGTTTAGTTATTTATAGAGTACCCTTTAAATTTCCTTTTCATTTCATTTTATTAATATATTTTAGTTACTTTCTTGGTGGCTAACCTGAGAACTGCAATTAGAATTTCAAACTCATAAGAAGCTAGTTTGAATTGATTCCAGCTTAGTTATAATAGTATTCCAAAACTCTGCTCCTGTGAAGGTCACTCCTTCTCTATGTTGTCCCTAATTACATTACTGTATATTGTGTATCTACTAACATAGATTTGTAATTATTGTTTTATTCATTTGTCATTATTATCATATAAAAAGATGAGTGATAAAGAATAGTGACTTTTATATTTATATTTACCTTTTATGTTTACCCAGATGTACTCCTATGTAGTTACTTTTGCCAATATTCTTTTTTTTGTGTGTAGTAACAAGTTACTATCTATTCTTCATCAGCTGTTCATTTTTGGAAGACCTTAGATTCTCCTCCATTTTTGAAAGCTTGTTTTGCCAGATACAGGATTCTTGGTTGAGTGTTTTTATTTCAGTTCTTTAAATATATTATCCCACTGCCTTCTGTCCTCTGTGGTTTTTCATGAAAATCTGATGTTCATCTTGTTGTGGACACCTAGTATGCGACAAGTTACTTCTTTCTTGCTGCTTTTAAGATTCTCTGTCTTTTATTTTTTAAAAAATGGTTGCCCATTTATTATAAATGATACTACAGAAAATACAGATATGCTGGCAGATGGAAAAGATGCACAGGGCAAGGCATGTGGGAAGGGGCCTGGAGCTTACATGCTCTCTTTGGGCATGCCACCACCCAGTATCTCTGCATGTTTAGCAAGCTAGAAGCTCCTGTCTTTGATTTTTGAAAGTTTCATTATAATTTGTCTCAGTGTGGGATTCCTTGTGTTTACCCTATGTGGATTCTATTTATCTTGTATGTGTTTTATAAAATTTGGGGAATTTTGGCCATTATTTCTTCAAATACTCTTTTTACCACTTTCTCATTTTTCTCTCCTTCTGCGACTCCCATCATGTATATGGTGGTACACTTGATGTTGTTACACAGATGTCTTAGGTTCTCTTCACTTAAATTTTTTTTCTTTCTTCTCTGACTGGATAATTTCAGTGAACTATCTTCAAATTCACTAATTCTTTTGCTTGCTCAAATCTGTCATTGAAAATGTTTAGTGAATTCCTCATTTCAGTTGTTACAATTTTCTGCTCCATAATTTTTATTAGATTTTGTTCTGTAACTTATTTTGCTTTATTGATATTCTCTATTTGTGAAGGCGTCATTTTCCTTATTTTCTTTGGTTCTTTGTTCATAATTTTCTTTAGCTCTTTAAGCATATTTAAGATAGCTGATTTAGAGTTTTTATCTAGCAAGTCCAATGTCTGTTTCCTCAGGGACAATTTCCATTATATTTTGTTCTCTGTGAATAGGCCATACATTCTTGTTTCTTTATATAACTTCTATTTTTTTTTAAAACTTTACATTTTAAAATATTTTAATGGATACTTTTGAAATCAGATCCTTCTGCCTGTTCAGCGTATTTGGTTGTTGCTTGTGTGGATTGTAGTTGTTTGTTTTATAATTTTCTTCATCTTTTGTCATGTCCTCTGAAGTCTGTCTTCCATTTACTTGAAATTTTGTTACATATTTAACTTTTGAATTCTTTTTAACCTTTGTGGTCAGCTACTGACTTAACAGATATTTTCTTAAATTCTGTGTTGAAGTCATCATTTGTTGACTTTGCATTCACTTGGTTGTTGTAAACATTTGATCATTTTCTGGAGTTCTGACAAAAGTTGATTCTGGCCATTTTTGTTCATTTTTTTTTCATGTTTCTGTGGAAAGAGGTGGCCAGCAGTTTTCCTCTCTACTATTTTCGCTGGAGTCATTGCTATCTTCTTTATTTTTTAATCTCATAGAAAACTTATCTTACAAAAAGCTAGGTGATTGTATACAGGATGAGGTTACTCAGCTAGCCTAAAGAGGGGATATGCAAGAAGCTCAGGAAAAGATAGCTGATGCAGACAACATGAGTGTCCTGTGGTTTGCCTGATATGGTGGGGATGGATATAGTGTCTGTTGTCTGTTAACACCATTAATACTGGATTTGGGCTGAACCAGTCTCCTAGATATTTGTTACTTTAGCAATCTTTTATGTATACTGATTCTGAAAAGATAGATTAGAAAATACCTTGTATTTCTTTTGATTCTATGTTGTGGTTTCTGACAGTTTTGCATTAGTTTCATGAATAGTAGATCTTAATGAATTTTTAAAATTGCCTTAAACTTTTATAAGGATTCAAAAGTAAGAAAATTTTACATCATCATGATGATTCAATCTCATAATCATGTTATGATACATTGGTAGACTCAGGTCTGCCACCTTCTGAATTACTTTGTGGACAATCCATTCAAAAGCTGTACCTTAGGTGTATAATATTTAAAGGACCTGGCTACAGTTTACTAGTGCTTTTCATAACTCTACGTATGTTTCTTTTTTTTTTCTTTTTTTTTTTTTTTTTGAGACAGAGTCTCACTCTGTTGCCGAGGCTGGAGTGCATGGGCATGATCTCAGCTCACTGCAACCTCCGCCTCCTGGGTTCAAGCGATAAAATTTAGAGATTTAACTTTTCTCGGGCCTGGATTTAGATAACTTCATTTTAAAAGGACTTAAGGTAAAAACAGAATATAAATAAAACCTTTTCTCCCCCAAGTCTGTGACCCTAGTTGGACCTTCGTCTGAAATTAACTGATCTAATTTTATAAAATCACTAGGTTGAATTTTGTTGTCTGTAATATTGTATAGTACCTCATAATATCAATTCAGATGGCAAGAGTGAAGTTTCACACCATGTATGGGTTTGGGAAGAATTTGAAAGAGATATGTTGAAACAACAAAAGAAAGATTTCCCATTATTCTGGGAATATACTCCACGTATATTCATACTTTTACGATCAATTTTATGATCTTCATATCAATAGTTGTCCATCAGACATATTTTACATGACATACTAGGTAAATGTTGGTAATATAGAGTAAGGATCCCTCTTCAAGATTGTATTATGGTAAAAACAATATGCATATAATAATAGTACAACTTATGTAAATACTGTAGAAGAGTTACCAAGTGTTTTATGGGTTCTGAGGAAGTGAAGATGTTATTAAGGAGATGAACAGTTAAGGAGGCCCGTGAAAAATTACTGGTGTTTTGAAAGAATTCTGTGGAAAATGAACAACTTAAAAGTCATGTACACAGGCATCATAGAGCAATATTTGGAGTCGAATAGCGAATGGATAGCATACAAGTAGAGTTATGGGGAAAAAAAAATTGTCAAGATCAGTAGTAAATAAATTATAGAGATTTTGGTTGCTGGATTGAAGTGTTTGTTTTTAAACATATCCTCATAACTGGAAAGGGTGACAGAAATCACATTATTCAGCCCCTTGTTTTACAAATTAGAGTAGAAACCTCAAATGTTATTTTACATTATACCTATGTTTATTAGTAGACCTCCTATAGAACTCAGGCTAGAAATCAGATTTCTTTCAATGTATTTTTTAAGTCTTGTAGTACAATAGGAACATTTCTCAGATGATCTTGCAGAGACAGTACTCATTTCTACATTGCTAAATTCAATGGGATTTTGTTGATTTTGTTCACTTATGTATCCCAAGCCCCTAGAGTAATTCCTGGCACGCAGTAGGCTCCTGGCAATTATTTATTAAATAAATGAATGTGTGTCTGAATATAAATATTCATCATTTTAGTTACCATGGCCGCTACTAAAATCCAACCTCATTTCCCTTTCCAGTATTGTGATCAGAGTTTATCCTACCTCTATCATTTTGCAGCTAGAGATTAAGAATTGAGATAAATGACACACAGTATATTATATAGAATTAAATACAATATTGAATGAATGCACATAAATGTATACATACTTATACATATGTATGTTATTAAAATTGAAATAAATCTGTTGCTCAGATTTTACAAAATCAACAGCCCAACATTATCAGGAAAGTTGATTAATTCTTAAGTTCACTGAAGAAATAAGGTTGTCCTGATTTATAGAAAGCAAATTGTTGACTTAGTTTTTTGCTAAAAAGAGTCATTTAGCACTAGGAAAATTGCTTAATATTTTAATGGAAGAGAAATATTAGAATATCATTTCATTTTTCAAAAGCCAATTTAAATATTGTAACAGAATACATTATACCCATGATAAAATATAATATATTTTCTCAGTTTCATCTCTAGACACTGAAAAAGGACCCAAGCCATGTACAGACCATAATTGTGAGCCTTCCAAAAGACTATTTAAGGTATGTTATGTGAGGCTGGTAAAAGGAAAAAAAAAGTTAAATGAACATGCCCCATGAGTAAGTAAGCATCCTAGCTATTTATAAAATACATTGAATCCCCACAATTAAGGATTTCAACAATAAAAATAAAACTTTACCCACTAATAAAAAAGTTAATAGAATTTATCTTTATAAAATACTTTCAAATTTAGCCTTTTGTAATGGGTTATATGAAGAATAATGGTTTTTCTATTTGTTTTGCCTTATTTGCTATTGCTAATTAATTTATAACTATTATTCAGATAAAATACTGTCCATGTTACCATTGTCCATCATAAATAACAAGCAAATTTGAACCATCTTTATAATCTATTTTCATATTGCTTTGCTCTATACCCAGCATCTTGTATCTATGCTTAGGATGAAAATGATGTTATATCTTCTAGAAGCAATTTAAATTAGTTGTTTTTTACATTATACTTAACATATTGTTCATGTTCAATAAATTTGTGACAGTATTTTCCTATGCCTAATTATAATTTACTGACCATAAACACATTGTAAACAGTAATATTTTTAAATATTTGGCATATATAATTATTTACATTATAATGGTTGTAAAGTGTTTCTACTAAAGGTATAAGTATTGTACACAGAGATCGATATCCATTATTTTTGCCTAGTGAAATTGACAAGGGGATTATTTCTTAATTTGTACTCAGTAAGCCTCCTAAAATGTAGTTTAAGTCAGGAATTCCCAACTCCTTGGCTACAGACTGATACCAATCCATGGCCTGTTAGGAACTGGGCCGTATAGCAGGAGGTGAGTGGCAGGCTAGAGAGAAGCTTCACTGTGTTTACAGTCCCCCATCTACATTGCTTGTATTACCACCTGAGATCTGCCTCCTCCTGTCAGATCAGATCAAGCGCAGCATTAGATTCTTATGGGAGTGCAAACCCTGTTGTGAACTGTGCATGTGAGGGATCTAGATTGTGTATTCCTTATGAGAATCTAATGCCTGATGATCTGTCACTGTCTCCTGTCAACCCCAGATGGGACCTTCTAGTTGTAGGAAAACAAGCTCAGAGCTTTCACTGATTTTACATTATGGTGAGTTGTATAATTATTTCATGATTTTTTACAATGTAATGATATAAATAAAGTGCACAATAAATGTAATGCACTTGAGTCATCCCGAAACCATCCCCCGCCTTCCCAGTCTGTGGAAAAATTGTCTTTCATGAAACCGGTCCCTGATGCCATAAAAGGGTGGGAGCTGTTGGTCTAAGTCATCAGTTCACATATTATATTTCCATTTAAAATTTTTTCTTACCTGTCTTCCTTGGGATAGGTTTTCTTCTTTTTTACTCTTGAAATAAGATTTAGGATTTGAGGCACCATGAAGAGAGCACTTAATCTTAATTTTCTTCTCTCAGTTTTTAATATGTGAGTACTGTGTTAAATTTTAGTCAGTTATTACCTAATACATCTTTTACTCTTTACCAGTCTTAAACAGTCACAGACCCTGAGTTAGGATAATTTATTTGGAAATGGGGTTGGAATGTGTGTTCAAGCATAGGGATTAGGAGTAGGGGAAGGAATCTGACCCATTTCATTATTTTCCCTGATGGTGGGCTCACGGTGATAATTGTTGAGCTTTCTTATGTCATTTTTATTTATTCTTTTCTCTTTTACATTCAGGGGGTACATGTGCAGGTTTGTTACATGGGTAAATTCCACATCATTGGGGTTTGGTGTACAAATGATTTTGCCACCCAGATAGTGAGCATAGTACTTGATAGGTTGTTTTTCGAGCCTCCACCTTCCAGCCTCAAGTAAGCTCTGGGGTCTGTTGTTCCTCTCTTTGTGTCCATGTATGCTCAGTGTTTAGCTCCCACTTATAAGTGAGAACATGTGGTATTTGGCTTTCTGTTTTCTGCATTAATTTGTTGAGGATAATGGCCTCTAGCTGCATTCATGTTGTTGCAAAGGACATGATTTAATTCTTTTTTATGGCTGCATAGTATTCCATGGTGTATAGGTACCACATTTTCTTTATCCTGTCTACCATTGGTGGGCATCTAGGTTGATTCCATGTCTTTGCTATTGTAAATAGTGGCAGTGAACATATACACCCATGTGTCTTTATGGTAGAATGATTTATATTCCTTTGGGTATATGCCCTGTAATGGGATTGTTGGGTCAAATGGTAGTTCTGTTTTCATTTCTTTGTGAAATTTCCAAACTGCTTTCCACAGTGGCTAAACTAATTTACATTCCCACCAGCAGTATATAAGTGTCCCCTTTTCTCTATAACCTCGCCAACATCAGTTATTTTCTGACTTTTTAATAATAGCCATTCTTACTGGTTTGAGATGCTATCTCATTGTGGTTTTGATTTGTTTTTCTATGATGATTAGTGATGTGGAGCATTTTTTCATATGCTTGTTGGCTCCCTATATGTCTTCTTTTGAGAAATATCTGTTCATGTCCCTTGCCCTTTTGTTAATGGGATTGTTTGTATTTTGCTAGCTGATTTAAGTACCTTATAGATTCTGGATATTAGACCTTTGCTGGATACATAGTTTGCAAAAAATTTCCCCCATTCTGTAGGTTTTGTGTTTACTGTGTTGATAGTTTCTTTTGCTGTACAGAAGCTCTTTAATTAGGTCCCATTTGTCTATTTTTGGTCTGGTTGCAATTGTTTTTGGAGACTTCATCATGAAATCTTTGCCAAGGCCTATGTTCAGAATGGTATGTCCTAAACTTTCTGCTAGGGTTTTTAATAGTTTAAATCTTTAATCCATCATGAGTTGATTTTTATGTATAGTGAAGTGAAGGGATAAGTTTCTATCTTTTCTACTGAAAGACAATTTTATTGCTGTGCTTTATATAGAAACACAAAATAATTTTTAAAACTTCCATACGATGAAGCTTTGAGTACAAGAGGTCTGTGGTTTCATTAAGTTCATTTGTTCCTTTTCCTCCTCAAATACCTGCTTTCTGACTTTTCCTGTCCCTTGGAAACTTTTTTTAAATGCAGTATGTTTATCTTTCTTTCTTCTTCAGCATAGAATTTCTTATTTGGCTTGTTACAGCAAAATAAAGAAGAGCTGGTGCTTTTCTGTCTTGATGATAGTATAAGTACAGTATATTGGCATATAGGAAAAAGAATTCAGAATTTGCAGGCAATGCTATTTTCACAAAAGCACCTTCATTTAAAAATCTGAAAAATTACTTGGTGTATTTGTCTCATCGTTGGTCTCATTTGCCTTTCAACGTTACTACCTTTTCATCTTGTATTAGCATCTTATATATTATTAAATACAATCTTTTGATCTTAGGAAGATTTAAGTAGCTGAAATTGTCTCCAGATTACACTAAGGCCAAATTTACTTTGGCATACTTGTCCCGATGATGTTGTATCTTGCTTTTAAATATTTGTTCTAAATATGTTATATTAGGCTGGACGTGGTGGCTCAAGCCTGTAATACCAGCACTTTGGGAGACCAAGGCGGGTGGATCACCTGATGTCAGGAGTTTGAGACCAGCCTGCCCAACATGGAGAAACCCCATCTCTACTAAAAATAAAAAAAATTAGCTGGGCGTGGTGGTGGATGCCTGTAATCCCAGCTACTCATGAGGCTGAGGCAGGAGAATCACTTGAACCCAGGAGGCGAAGGTTGCAGTGAGCTGAGATCACGCCATTGCACTCCAGCCTGGGCAACAAGAGTGAAACTTCGTCTCAAAAAAAAAAAAAAAAAGAATAAATAAATAAATATGTTATATTTCTTAAGTGTATCATTTTCGTTCCACTCTTCTCTGTTTTGTCAATCCTTATGCCAGTTCCATACTTTCTTCATTACTTCATCTGTACAGTGATTCTTTTGTCAGTAGTGTTTTTACGTTGATTTTTTGTCAAGGTTGTTCTGGATATTCTAGGTTCCTTTCCTTTCCAAGAAAATTTAGAATCAGCTTGTATGTCAATTTTCTCAAAAAGGACTGCTTTGGTTGGAATTGGAGTTTCCTTATTATCAATTTGGTGAGAAGTGCATTTTAATAGTATTCAATCTTCCAATACCTGAAAATGCTACATCTCTCTCTCTAGGTTTAAAAAAATAAATATATAGGATTATTTGGAGATGAATAATGTATTGTCTCCTCCTTCAGAGAAGTTCATGGGAAAGTAGGAGAACCAACATGTAGACAAGTTACCTTATGTATGCAATGTGGCAGTTAACTGTAACAGAAATAGGTAAAGGATGATAGGATAATATATAATTGATTAATATTTTTCTAGAAGTCGAAGAAGAAAAACAATGCCACTGCCATATATAACAGATGGTATTTACTCATTCATCCATTTATTTTAAGTATGTTTGCAAGTTAAGCTATCATAGTGTCATTATATTCAAATAATTGTATAATTACTTGACTCAAGTGTTCAGTTGAAAATCAGACCAAGTGGAGCTTGATTACAACCCAGAAAGTAATCTATTTAGAGTCTTTCATATTGGGATCATCTCTGACATATTTATCACTCTTAAGAAAGATGACTAATATTCCCTAATATTAAAAATAATGATTTTAATTGGGTAAAGTTTATATTGGAAAATTCATAATCCATTTCTTTATCTCTTTACAATGTTATTCATAAAAATTAGTCTTTGAAAGGAGAAATGCCATTGTCTTCTGTTTTTCAAAATAGACTATTATTACCTAGAATTGGAAAAAGTATAATAATAAATATAAGAAGACATTTGCTGCTGATGGCTTTACACAGAAATTTTATTTACAATATATTTATATTTGTCTGTGTAATGGTGAACTTCTGTACATGCCAAAAGAACTTCATTACATGTTGTTCTTCATGAGCTCTCCCATGGAAATTATTCTTTACAGTCAGAGAAATGTGATGCCTTTCTTCAGTCACTGTTACATTATGCAGGTTTTTATATTTCTCTTTTTCAGCTTCACACATCAAGTGACATTATAACAACTATACTGTAAAATAATTTAA